GCCATGCAAGTGGAATTTGCAGCGATTAAAACCATGCTGTCAATCTATATATTTATTGGCATGGAGAGACGTCTGGTGGGTCTCACCAAGCAAAGAAAGCTGCTTAAAAACACTGTATATAATAATATTTCAAGTTTAAAAACTATTTCTGGCACAGAAAGCAATTCTGAAAGGACCGTACCTTATGATTGGCAGGATGGTGGGAGGCTTACAGGTGGCCCTGTTTTCCTGGTGGTTTATTGCTTGGATGGGGGTGTGATGCGGGAGTACCTGACTTTTATAATTATCCAAAACAATAACACTTGTTCGAAAGAGAACCCGAGTGAGGCAGAGGAGCTGGAGATGAAGGAGGTGGGCAGGAAGTGGGAAGGATGGAACAGAGGGCCAGACAGTCCCTGGAGGGAGTGGGAGGGAAGCCTGGGGTGAGGAGGAGGCAGGGACCTAGCTGAGTGCCAGGGCCCAGCGGGACACACCAATCTGCAGAGAGGGGGGCAGGCGGGGCAGGAGGCCTGGTGATAAAGAGGAGAGCATGGGAAGAAAGATTGGTTCCCAACCCATTGCCCCTGGGGCAAAAATCTACTGGTTGATCTTTCAAGAACCCCTATTTTACTACACTACTAGTCTCAGGGAAGCCCCCTTCAGGAAATGCCTCCCCACCCCAAACCGCAGCATGATCCCCCTCCCTGCTTGTTCTAAATTAAACTTGCATCTCCCCACCCCTGCAGGTGGGTTTGTAATTTTCTATGCCCAACTGATTCCAGGGGAGAGCAATCCTCTGGGGCATAGCCTTTAGTAACTTCTGCTGCCCAAGGAACCCACTGCAAGGCCCGAGTCTGCCAGAAGGCATCTGCGTGCACACGCCTGGAGGATGCCCACCTCAGGGTTCATTGTGCCTAGCCAAGCCACCCAGGTGCAGTGCTGAAGTCTTAGGTTTCAGTGCCTTGGGCCCAGGTCACCATGAACCACACTGGTATAGCCTAAGCCCCCAGGGCTACTTCTGTCCTCCTGGAAAACAGACGAGGGGACAGGATGTTCAGAACATTCTACCTGATCTGGCTCAGGTTCCTGTCACACACACGCGCGCGCGCACACACACACACACACACACACACACACACACACACACACACACACACACACACCTGTACACAGGAAGATTCCTAGTCTTTCCATCCCAAACCTGCATCATGATTTCTTGGGCAGTTACCAAGACCTTTTAAATTATGGAATTAGCGGCATTTGTGTGTTGGGAAACAACACACAACTCTCATTCCTCCTTGGATGGGCTAGAAAGAGCCAATAGACTTTGCCCCAGAGGAGGGATCCTGACCCAAGTAGCCTCATCCTGTCTAGTCTCCAGCCCCACCTCCTCAGCTCAGACTCCCATCTGCCCCAGGCAAGCACAGTCCTGATGGGAGTGAACTTAGACCCAGATCTCAGCTTAACAAGTTGTTTGAACTCTAAGCCCCATCTGTGAGATGGGTGCAATAAGAGGCCACACCTCCTACTGAGTGGTCAGGCTGAAACTGCGAAATGAGTGAGGCAGGGGTTCAGGCCTCAGCTACAAAGCATGGGACCTATGCAGAGCCAGCTCAAAGCAAAGCCAGCGTCACCTAGGATTGGCATGCAGCAACCGACGACTGTAGAATGTTACCTTGCCGCCACCTGCTGGCCACTGCCAGCCTCACAGCCACGCCTCCATGTGCCAACAGAAGAGCAGTGCCTGTAAGGGAGTAGGCTGGCTGGTCTTCCCTACAATATTCAGACTGAGACAGACCTTTAGGGAGCCAGTCTTTTATCAGAGATGTGTGACAAATGTCCATACCCCCCCTGCCCGTGCCCAGTATTGCAGACAGCTCGTGGCTAAGCTGGATGCTAAGAGATACTAAAGTTACTTTCCTATGCTTGGTTCTGCAGAAACTTCCAGAAGCAGACAGGAATGGAGGCAAGTGGTATGGCAGAGAGTTGAGCCAGGGAGCAGTAGAGGGAAACTAAACCTAGAAAGCAACAAACAGAAAGCAACGGGGCTATGTGCTCGCTGTGGGCACATGGGACTCCATCACTCTAGGGAGGCCACAAAGCAGTGTAGACACCCCTCATGGCTGGGGTGCAGTTGACATACTACTTGCCTAACATGAATGAAGCCCTGGATTCAGTCCCTAGAAGTGAATTAAATTGGACATGGTGGCACACACATATAATCCCCAGCACCATGGGATCAGAAGTCCAGGGCTATATGGTGAGCTTTAGGCCCCCCTGGCTAAACCCTGCCTCAACTCAGCTGGATTGAGAGTATGTGCTCCCAGACACTAACTCCCCCCAGCCTGGCCTGCAGCCACAGAAGGCAAGTATTCGGGACAGGGGAAGCCCCATCCATCGATCCCAAAGCCAACAGGAAATCCACTGCCTAGTCAGCAGTGTGAATGCCAAGGGCAGCTGTTCTCTGAGTATGTTCTCTGATCCTGCAGCATCGGGACCACCTGGGGAACTTGCTAGAAATGCAAATTCTTGATCTTGGTCCCAGATCTGAACCAGAAACATGGGAGGTAGGGCCCAACAATTTGTCTGTCTACAAACCTCACAGTTGGTCACTGTGTTCCTTCAAATCCAAGAACCTCTAACCTAGAGGAGAGCAACCATCACCTACAGCACCTGCTAGAAGAATGTGGCAGCAGGTAAGAAACTGGGAAGCAAAGGGGTGGCAATGACTCTCCCAAGTTTACTCAGATAACAAGTGACAGGTGGGTCTTTTGCCTCTATCCAACACACACACACACACACACACACACACACACACACACACACACACACACA